GTAAAGTAGGCGGCTAGTGCCACCGGCGACGGTTGCCGCTAACGCGTGCCGGCGGGATAGTTTCCCACAGACTTTGAGACATTTCCGAAGTTACAAGGCTTACGGCAACACCTCGCTTCTTTGCCATAGGTGTTGTGGTACCAGCACCAGTCAGGGTTTTTCAGAGAACGTGGCTTGGACCTAGATCGACCACGTGAGTTCCAGTGTTGAGGAGATTTGGGACGACTGTCGGAGGATTTAGAAGGCATGTTTGACCTAAACATCTGTTGGATGGAGTTGCATAACTGTATCATTGCAGTATCCTTACTCGAAGTCTGCTTAGTCATCGAGCATATTTCAGGAACTGACCGTTTAGTTATTTCTAGAATCCTATCTGCAGTAATAGCTAAGTCCTCTATTACAGTACCCTGAAGTGTTACAAGTACGGTCTGTACAGACTGTGGCAGCTTGGATAAGAAGAGTTCTCTAAACAGTCCTTCGTCGAACTGACTTTGGCCAACAATTTCTTTCATTCTTGTCAGCATGCTCACAGCTGACTGATCTCCTAACTCGATGTTATGAAATAATTCGTCCAGACGTTGTCGGTCTGTGAGAACGTTTCTCCTGAGGAGGGATGCTTTGAGCAACTCGTACGAGTTACTTACCTCGGGACTCGACATCTTTGAAGTTACGTACTTGCCGAATTACCTCAGTAAGGCGTGAATAACTGCAAGTAACTGTGAACGGTGATCGGTTATCCCATGCTCACAAAAATCTGCTTCAGCTAGCAGAAACCACGTTTCAGCATTATCTGGCCAGTATGGTACGAGCTGAATGGTTTTAGGAGTTGAGCGGATACGAATGACCTTGGGACTAAGATCACTCATGACGAAAATTATGTCGTATAAAATATGGTACAAGAACAAATACAAAAAGGAACGAACTCACCGGGGTTATCTGCGGACTTATCGTGGATGAAGTTCGCGGTTGGGCTCACCAGCTTAGAGGTTGACGGTATAGACGTTCGCGAACAGTACGAAAGTTTATTGACGCAATCTCTTATACATCAACTTCTAACTTATTAGTTCTCGCGTACCAAAAGCAAAGCAAAAGACAGTGTTTGATCGTCCAAACTACGCGATATATTTCAGGACCGAAACGAGTTGCTAGACGAACACTTAGCTGGCTAGTGATCGTGCCGCACGCGACACGACGGAGTACCAAATGGCGGGGATGCTTGACCGAAAGCCTCCATCTAAACAAGTCGACTTAAACAGTGGTGGTCAGCATCCAATGTTGAGTTATGATTGCTATGGTCAATAATTTTGGGGAATTATTTACCGCTACAAGACGATTCGTGTAAATGATCAGCCCACTTACCAACAAATGTTAAGGTCAAACAGGTGCTAATCATAAAATATAGCAGTGGTGGTAATCTTGCACTTAGACAACTATGTGAAAGTCGAACAACAACAGCTTCTGATGCACCGCTAAGTTCATCAACTTGTGTTACTCAGTCGTCGTTGGTGTCGTCATTTTATTTTTTTTTATTTTTTGATTTACAGCTTGATTCCACACTGTATTTTTGGTACAAGTATGGAATTTTCAGCGTGGATATCGGTAGCCCAAATTTTGCAGGCCGACCATAGATATCAGGTGTGCGCCGGCGTGGGCTCGAACCCCGGACCATGTGCATGGTCGGCAAGAGTCCTAACCACTGTGCCACCGACGCACAATGGAAGGGACGTCCATAAACTCACGTGTCTTATGTTATGACTATGCTAGTATCAGTCCGTTTGAAAGAACGAATATCAATGGTCAGTTTTGGAAGGATAAGTGAACTGTGTATGAGAGTTTAATTGTTAAACTGATTTGCATGAATAAAGGCATTTTAAGTTTTAGATTACTAAATGAATGTTATTATCGTTGGCGTAAATTACTCTGTACCCCAGCTTGGTTGGTCAGATACATCGTGTGTTTGTTCGTCATCTGTATTCTACGATACAATGACATGAGCGTGTTGCCGTTCAGATTTGAGGATATCGCTGATAGAGGGAAGTCAGCAAATGAACTCACCGATGATTTTTTGACCTAGAGCGTCAACCTGAGAAGGATTGTAGGCGTACTGCTGTAAGTCCTACAATTCTTCAAAGGGTAGTGCATCAATCAGCAGTCCATTGTGCTTGGTTTGTGATTTTGTACATATGTTCATATTGTATATACTGAATTGGTATCATCTGTCGTCTAGCTGTTGATAATTTTGTTTGTGTCTGTACGTCTTCCCCTTGGATCGTCAACCTGAGACGGAATGTAAGCATACTAGTGTAAGTCCTACAGTTCTTCAAGGATAGCTCGTTAAGGTAGAATCCACATCAATTGATGTATTGATTGTAGATACATTTGTGTTAAAATCTGAAATTCCAATTCATCTATTTGTTGGTTTATTTATAGTTGTTGCATTGTGTGAATCATCTTGTAATGTTACTGTAAGTACTTCTGAAGTCATTTCTAGTCTTCTAAATTTGTGAACGGATCAAGAGGTGTTAGAGTCAGTGTGTGCGATTCGATACGCCTGGGTGGGGATTGTAACAGAGTTGTATGAAGCAACCAACACCCCGTGGAACATATTAGTGGTGGTACTGTCGACAGAAAGCTAAGGAAATTTCCGATTACTGAGGAAGATCCCACACACCGGGGAGAGCGTGTCGGTGTGATATGGTATGCTTGTTGTGTGTCGGACTACTTTGTCTTGCTTATCCATTTTAGCCCAGTCGCGGTTGACCCAGGTTCCCGCGTCGGCAGTTCACTTCAAGGTTATTGGCGCTCTTGAAAAAGGAGGACGGACCCATTTTCCAGGGAGTGTCCATGGATGTGAAGGTTGAACGTTTGTTTTTGGAACTGGTCGCCACTGTTGGGCAACTCGAAGGCGCGAATAGTTCGATCGTGTACAAGTTCGACGAAAACGAACGAAAACGAATATAAGCTTGTATTATTCTCCGGTTTAATCGCCAAATAATACAACTTCCTTCTTACGATACTGGATTTTTGAGTTAAAGTCCAAGAAAGTCCATAGTATTTATCGGTTCGAGGCGTCTTTGTAACAGTAGGAACTTAGAGATAAGTCCCTTGACACTGAAGAGTTCCATTACTAAGACCTGTCGGTGAAAGAATATTTTAAAAAAGCAATGAAAAAAAATGATAAAACCCGTGTTTGTTATATATTTTGTATCAATAACTATTATTATAAACCTCTACAACTCCTTTGCGGTTTTATTGTTTCTTCTCTTTTGAGATACTGACTTCAATGAAGGCATTGATACAGTGATGCTATCCTCTTCATTAGAGTTAATGAGATGGAGCTGTAGGGCCACTACAACCAACGTTTTGGGGTGATCCAGTATATTGGTGAATTACGGATCCACTTTCGTCATGAAATCTGCTGACAAGTTCAAAGCTGGTCTCATACAATTGGAAACCCGATCGGACAGATGTGTGGAAAAGAGGCCATTTGGGAAAACGTGGAAAAAAGGGCGTATTTTATTTGGAAAGGGAAAAAATCCGATTAAATGGGACAGTGAGGGGAAACCATGGAAAATTTTACTGTACACGAGGGGCTACTGATAAATTGTAAGTAGTTAAATGTTTTTTTCGAAATTACGTAACCACGACCTCAATTGAAGAAAAGCGCATCAGTTAGTTGATGCTTTTTTCTTAATGTATTTACATCAAGAGTTTTCCGTTGAATATCTTCAAAACATCTGGCAAGCGGAACACAGAAGATAGTGCTAACACTTAAATGTAAGAACGGTTGCTTTTTCCTGATAACTCAAGCGTTTTACGTCATACACTAATCCAGAGAGACCCACACTCATACACATATGTGTGTATGTACGCATGTATATAAATGTAAATACTTTAAGAATGGTGGCCAATGTCATTACATTGTAGCCACACTGAGAAAACTACCTGTGACTTGTTATCGTCACTTTGACTGTGATAATATATGGGGTCAAGGTATTTGCTAATAATGTCACTCATCTGACCTGTATGAGTCACACGATATCGTAGAACAGAGATGGTGTGACACGTGGGTTCATGTTTACTGACCAGTCAACGGGTGTCAGCCACGTCTCATAAACCGTTAATGCCCAGCTCTTGCTACGCTCGGGCTCACGCTGTTCCTTGAAGTTTCTCAGAAACGCTTAGTAATAACGGTCGGAAAAACCAAAACACCAATTGTTGACTCGAGGATTCTTTATTGTTACACTAACATATAAATACTGTTAAAACAGGTGAGGATATACGTTGCTCCGTGTTATATTTTCCGCGACTCAGTTTTTTCGTCTTTCATTGGCTAGAATGGTGGCGGTCAATTGGAGTTTGAATTGTCCTTGGGTGCGTGCTGTCGGGTGCTGTGTTTGCGTGGTTGTGTTTGCGTCGTTTGCCAGCATATGTGATTACTATAAACGTGTATTAGACTATTGTAACGCTTTGTTTTTCTTTGTTTGTGCATGTACTAGGCTTTATTTGTCGTACAATTCGTTGTTTGGTCTGTCAGTTGCTTGCGATGTCAACGAACCGGTGGGTTCTTGTGTTTTTCTGTAATTTAGGTTATACGTGCGGTATTTTCTTGATGGTTATCGATCATCCCTGTATTTCAATGTTGTTTTTTTACGATTTATCTTGGAATAGTTGTGACATAGATGGATCCTAATTGATAATTTTATTTTAGTCCGTTGCAGGTAGTCAATTCGAGTGACAGGAGCACAGATTTAAGTGGAATTTTTGCTGAATACATACTTGGAAGGCGTTTCTTGAGCTGGGATGAATTTGAGAAGTCATTAGCAGAATTTCAAAAAGTGAGGAAGTCATTTAATGCTAACAGTGTAGTTGTCCTGCACTCACTATGTTCATAATTGCAGCAAAACGATACCGGATGACAGATTTAAGTACGCTTATGTTGGTTTTAAATGCACTTTTGGAGTGAATCGTACAAGACCTGGATTGAAATTGAAAAACAAGTCGTAAGAAGAAGTGTAATATGATTTCATGAATATTTCAGGTCTAAATGTTGCAATTGCTCGTCTTCATTTCGCGTGGTTTTGCGTTATAGTGAATACATAATTGCTTCCCACAATATGGTACATAACCATCCATGCAGCAGGGTGTACATGCAGAATGACCCATGGTATAGACGACTAACAGTTGAAGAGAAAGAAAATGTGGAACCACTTCTTCAGCAATCCCACTCATCCGATGAAATAATAATGCATGTTAAGGAGAAGTACCACAAGGATATAACTCGCATCGACGTTAAAAATATGAAAGCCGCAGTTAATAAAGGTAACGTTGACGTACTTGTTAAATACTTAAGGTATTTCGAGTCGTCGTGACATTTTTGAATTCCTAAAATCCCGTGGGAAGTTAATGGAGTATTATTCCGATGAACCGATCAGGAATTCACTAACAAGAATTTGTTTTGCAACTTATGAGCAAATGGAATTGTATAAACAGTTCCCTGAAGTTGTTGGTATCGACTCGACGTATAATACAAATAAGGGGAAGTAAGTTTACCAATTCATTAATCAACGTGCAGGTATTCTTTGTTCCAATTACTTGTGACGGATAATTTTGGTCGTGGACGACCAGTTTTATTTGCGTGGACTAGAAAAGAATTCAAACGAGATGTAGTTTGGATATTAGACTGTTTTCGTCAAATAATGGAAGACACCTCCAAAACAGAATCTTTCATTATGGATTGTGCGCAAGCTGAAATAGCAGCCGTCAAGTTAACGCACAGACAAGCGCACATTGTTTTGTGTTCTTTCCATGTTTGCCGAGCATTCTGTCGGAAAGTAAGTTTTTCAAAGCATACTTTACATTTTATTCGTAGACAAGAAATCCCATTGTGAAGAACTATTTATGCCGTCTAGTGCAGTGTAAAAGGAGATCAGAGTAATGCCTTTAATGTTCTCATTTTCCAGATTTAATTTCTACTTCAGAGTTATTAGCAGATTGGATGCTACTGTCAGTCAATATCTACAACGTCGTTGGATGCATCGACGAGAATTGTGGGCAGCATGTTTCAGAGACAACGTGCTGACTTTTGGGAATGATACAAATAATCGCGTCGAGAGTTCCCACAAGCAAATGAAACGGTACTTACAAAGATCAGATAGTTTGCATAAAAGTATGCTGAAGGTTTTTAAATGGTATCAACAAAGTTTTGCAAGGAAACAGCAGGAGGCGATTATTGCTCAGTCGCGATGCTTCACCTATCCCTGTTCACAACGTCTACTCCCAATTATACGATTGCTGACGCCATACGCTGCGAGGAAGGTTATCCGTGAATACGAAAGGCGACGATGGGCTGTTGTTGAGGTTGAATCCTTCGATTATGTATTCTTCCAAGACAACGGGAATCGAGTGGAGGTTGATCTGAGTGCTTGCACCTGCACGTGTGTTACATTTCAGACCTGTCGGTACCCCTGCCGACACTTGCTTTTGGTCCATTTCAGAAAGCCACATTTTACAGGTATATATGCGTTTTTTTGACTCCGTTTTTAATGTATGTCGACCGAAACTTAATTAATTATTGTTCTTATATACGGAAAGTTGTAATTTTCATTACCGTATTCGTGTGTACGATGCCTTAACTGGAAACAGGACACAAGCACTACCATCATTGCACCTGTAATAATCAGTTCATAGTTATCTTAACGTTTTTTGTTCCACCTTTTGTAGTTAACCATGTGATGCATAATTGTAAACAATGGACGTGGTCACGCAACTTGTTCGCATCTCAAAGTACGTCAGCAGTTATCCCTCGAAATCAACGTGACATATTGAATACCAAAAATAGGATTATCACTGCGGGCATGAAGAGAATTAGTGACAAATTTGGAGAAGTGTTTGCCAATACTTATGCAGACGGAGTAATCGCAGGAATCAATCGTGTTCTTAATATGTAAATAAACTAAATTTGTATCATAATGAAAATAAAATTTTCATGTAAATTTTGTTGTCTTTCAATTCATGTGTTCACTTTGTGAGCACGGCATGCTAGACCGGTGCTCTCTAGGACTTTAACTACTAACAATACGTAAGTGTAATTGTGTAGGAACGATGTCGGTCAGCATACGTGTTAAATTATAAGTATTTTAGTTAGCTAACGTGCATACGTCTCATAGTCATATACAAGTCTTTAGGGACAATAGTAGGCATAACTTAGGCACTGCATTCGAGTTCCAGTTCTTATACGGTTACGTGTATTCGAAAGTATTGCATTACTAATGTTTCACTTAAAGCGTGATGTCAATCCATATGACTAAGGCTGTTGACATGTAGCGTAAATTAAAGTCTACACCAGACGAATTATTGAATTCGTTGAGCTTTAGCAATCGTATTTAGATTTAGCTTACACTAAAATATGCCACCAATTACTTCGTCAGTTCTTATTAATAAGTCATGTCTGCACCTAGTCATCATGACAAATATATCTACACTCAGATATAATAAGAAAGGTCTGGTAAGCAGGATATTAAATGTATTTAATGAAAAATAATAACAAGCAAATGTCTTTACGCAGTCGTTTGTCGTAATAATTTGGGCAATGTCGAATCTCTGTGACCGGGTTGACTGACGTTACCGGATATCTACAAATAAGTAAACAGAGTGTTTTTTAAATCGCTGAAGTAAGAAAGAAGTAATATCAAAGTTAAACGCTTTATATTTGCCTACCTTTGCTGAAAATGGTTCATTCTCCTTTCTCATTCTTTGTTCATGACAGCATTCTTCTGTGGTTTTCACTGCCACACACATTATTCATCTTCTAAAGGATAGCAGCAAGCATATAATAATAATTTCATATTTCGTATAAACCAATGTTTACAAAGAATGCATGTCATTTCTACAGGCGCAATAAGTTATGTTATAAACTGCAATCGTGAAGTATCATAAATTATAAGAGTTAAATTGTAAACCCTTAACAATGAGCACCGTACATTTGGCTAAGTGCTATGTCCTTGGAATGTGAGTATACATTTGCAATGTTTAATGCCAACCATATTGGTGTAAGCATAGAAAATATGACGTTTTCCATGAAAGTACAGCTTTGTTCAAACACTGGTGTTGTTGTGTTTCTAATAAAAACAAATAGACTGTAAGCAAGCAACTAATAGGCACAAAGAGTAAGTCTCAGCCTTAATAAAGACATATCCAGTTAACATAAAATGCAGTGTAATAGTGCACAAATGAAAAGACCATAGTGATGTAGATAAGTGATATTTCAGTGAGAGGTAAATTGACAGATCTGCTGTTCAGCATTTTTTCCTTTGATGCAGTTTCTTATCAACAGTTTGCAGTATTCAGAACATCACAAGTTGCTTACAGATAACTTGTTTAATAATAACTGCTTTAAATGTATGAGCCATAAGTGCATCTTCTACATCTTTCATAGCCGCAATTAAGTCATTAAGGATCCCAGAATATCTTAGTGATGTGAAGCAAAATAATTATTAAGATTGATATAACCTATGTAACAGGTGTAGCAGTTGTATGACACAACTGCTAGCTACTAATCGACAGAAATCTGGTACTAATTTTAAGTACTCTGACATTTTAGAAGGACTATTTGTACTATTCTTTGAGAAACGATGAACACTGATGTCAATATACTCTGATGCCATTTCATGCACTGAGCAATTAAGGCCTTGTGAAATTCCATCTGCAAATGTCAATTAAACTATTATCACATCTTCGCCAAAGCACTTTTAACTAGGAACTTCATCAAAATAGATATAATCACCAGGAAATTCAGCAGCCTACCTCATTCATCGCATAATGTCGTCGATGTGTTATGCGTATTTCAGTCATCCTGGATGATGACAGAAAAGTTTAACATGTTCAAAGCACACATCTAACCTATGTCTGCATGCTATTTCTCTTTCATAGGCCAGATTCTAATAGATTCACTGGAATGACAACAGCCATTGCCTGCAGTATATTTACAACCTTACGATCTGAAACAACTCGCAAAAAACAAACCCTCAACGCACTATAATGCAAATAATAGTCTTTCTATGCGAACTTTCTTAAAAAGGATGACTTCTTCATTGATAATTCGTCCGAGCTATAATATACAATTTTACGCTCTACTAAGAACAAAATACAGCAAAATACTGCCATCCGGCTACAGAAGTCTAAAACTAGTCAAATATAATCTATTTCCAAAAAAATAAGTGATTATAACGTCTGTTGACGTGAGCGCGGTAACCGATGGCATTGCGCGATAACACCAGGAGACAGCCTATATCCTCACTCGTTAAAACTAAGGTCTGTGTACAAATATTACAATAATAAATCACAACATTACTTCTGACGGTTTTCCGCTGACCTCTTTCTGAACAGCGAACGATGAGACGATGACTGTCGTATTGATGCCTCCGCGAAAATTGGGGAAGTTGGTTTTGAGCAAACAACCAAGAATTGATCGTTCAATCTTCAACTCCATTGACACTCCCCGGCAAAAAAAGGATCCAACCCCTTTTTCCCATCACGACCAATACACGTTGACTTGGATGCCATTGCGAGAACCTGGGTCACACGGACAGAGCTGAAATGGAAAACAAACAGAAAAGCCAACACACCACAAGTATACTCACAGCACAATCTCAAACATCAATGACGACCTGCGCCTTCCAGTTAAAGGCATTCCCTTGACACATCCTCTCGCAACACAATCGCCACTTGCTAGAATGACTCTTGCAGAATGCAACGTGACCATGGCAGCACCTCACGATACTCTACGCTCATCCTCTTATCTACTCACTACCAATTACCACTGCAATCGCTTGTCACTCATTCTGTCTCAATTCTAGTAACGGTGACGTATGCGAGCCTCAGTCGTTTACACTCTTTCTCCCCGGCGTGTGGGACCACAGCTAGCAATTATCTCCGTGTGCATTTCATTCTCAGCAATAGCCTAGCCTCCACGGCGTATACGACCCATCTGCTGTCCTTAACATCAATCAATTCATTCACGGATGTAGAAGACTCGAAACAACTTCAGAAGTAATCACGACGAAAATTTTAACAAAATTATGCAATAACAACAAGGTACGAAAACAACGAGTAAACACAATGAATCCGAAAACACCGATTGATATGACACACCACACGTATATACAAACAGTACACACAAACTCGCGGATCACATCTTGATGGAATTCCTTTGAAGAATCGCAGGACTTACACCAGTACGCCTACAACCCTTCACAGGTTGACGATTGTAAGTTGTGGAATGTCCGGACACAAACAACAAGATTAACCAACAATTACAATAATTGGAAGTCACACAATTATTTAACACAAACATATGTACAATCAACACATCAAATGTTGTGGATTCTGGCAAGACAAACTACCCTTGAAGAACTGTAGGACTTACAGCAGTACGCCTACAACCCTTCTCAGGTTGACGCTCTAGTTTGGAAAATCGTTGCAGAGTTCATTTGCTGACTTCCTTATATCAGCTATATCCTCAAATCTGAACGGCAACACGCTCATGTCATTGTATCGTAGAACATAGATGACGAACAAACACACGACGTATCTGGTCAACCAAGCGTAGGCACAGAGTAATTTACACCAAAGATAATAACATTCAAATAGTAACTTGAAACTAGAAATGCCTTTATTCATGCAAGTCAATTTAACAATTACTCTCTCGTGTACACCTGGCTTATTCTCACTAAACTGAGCAATATCTTTCGTCTTTTCAAATGCACCAATACTATCAAAATCATTGCACAAGATACTTGAGTTCATGGGCGTCTGTTTCATTGTGGATGACAACACCAACGACGACTGAGTGACACAAGTTGATGAACTTAGCGGTGGATCAGAAGCTGTTGTCGCTCGACTTTCAGAAATTTGTCTACCTGCAAGACCACCACCACTGCCGTCATTTACTATCAGCTCAGGTTTAGCACTATCATCCGATGATAGGTGGGCTACATGCTGATCAATGAAACTGACGGTCTGACAAGTATGCATGCCTTCTGCAACTGCATTTATTTCTACTTCACGTTGTCGTTGTACAGACCCTTTATTTAACTTAGCAGTAGTAGGCATATCCCTCATCCCATCATGATCAACCAAAGACGAATGTGAAGTATCATGATCATTATCCCGAATATTCAATTTATCATCATCTATCTGGTCGACTTCATCAATTTCAAACTCTTTAATAACAGAAGTAGACAATTTTGGTTCCTTCTCACAGATCCCCAAAGATTTTATACCTTCACTCTGACTAGTAATACCTTGTAAAATTGCAGGGTCAGAACTGGACTCTGAAGCAGTAACTCTATTCTGTGACACTCTATTCAACAATGGCTTACCAGTTGTGACTACAGACTTCTTCACCGCGCTATTATCGTCACACAATTCGTAGTCAAACCTTGGTTTCACATTTAGCTTATCACTGAACTTGCTCACTGGCTCACAGTACACCTTTGTATGCACCTCTTGCAAACGTGTAAAACACAACTGTGTTTGTCTTGCATCTTGTAACTCATCTGTTGAGGATGTACTACGAAACCTGTTACACTCACTAGGTCTATATGCATTACTAGACATCATGGAGCCTTCTCGATATCTACCTCTCTGAGGCCTATTCGTCATCAATGAGTGCGTTTTACCCTCAGACTGCTCTATTCTAGGGGTGAGATTCAATAGACTGGCAAACTTGCTCATAGATTGATTGACACTATCTTTTACTAGTTTCAGGATATCATCAAATTTTGGCTCGATACCCTCATCCTCCATACGGGAGTTTATCTTCACCCACTTCCTTTGCAGTCGAGTAGGTAGGCGTCTCGCTATTACTTCTAGTATAAAACTCGAGTTGAGGTCACTCATGCAATTCTTCGAAATCATTGCATTCTTGTAAATCAACAGATTATCCATAATCTCAGTAAGTGCCATGGAGTCATCTTGAAGTTGACTGCCGTTACCTTTGACAGCCTCGAATAATTTCCCTACAATCATCGAAGTTCTCCCAAACCTTTGACGTAGTATGCTCATAGCCTCGTAGTAGTCCTCTCTTGGCTTCATAAACTTACAGCACTGTATAGCTCTTGCAGCAATTCCAGTGCAATACCTCATCAAATACATTAACTTCATTTCATCATTTAATAGAAAACTACTCAGCATGATCTCAAACTCACTTACAAATTGTGAATAATCAGCCGGGTTTCCATCGAAACACCGTGGTTCAAATTTAGGGAGTTTGATGTTACTATTATCCCTGAACGGCGAAACAGTAACATCAACCATGTCATGCTTAACATCAGACACATCATTGCAAGTAAAAGACAAGTCACCATGACTTACTTTCCTGTTTGCATCCAAGACACTCTGTCCCTTCTTTGACCCAGGCATTGTTGAACTTGACCGAATTCCAAAAACGTTCCAGATATTGCTTGTTCAAAGAGAACTTGACCGGCACCAGGAAAGATGAACGGTGACTATCGAAACTTTCACCAACTGTCTGAATCCGTCAGAACCTAGCGCCGTGCCGTCAGAAACTGTCAGTCACGTCTCGTAAACCGTTAATGCCCAGCTCTTGCTACGCTCGGGCTCACGCTGTCGCTTGAAGTTTCTCAGAAACGCTTAGTAATAACGGACGAAAAAACCAAAACACGAATTGCTGACTCGAGGATTCTTTATTGTAACACCAACATATAAAAAATGTTATCATTAAGGTCTGAGAACAAATATTACAATAATAAATCACAATATTACTTCTGACGGTTTTCCGCTGACCTCTTTCTGAACAGCGAACGATGAGACGATGACTGTCGTATTGATGCCTCCGCGAAAATTGGGGAAGTTGGTTTTGAGCAAACAACCAAGAATTGATCGTTCAATCTTCGACTACGTTGACAGCTTCTACTGTTCAGTCACCTCCGCTGCTTCAGTTTTCCTAATGGAAATGGAACGTTTGTCATAGCACCTAGGGAACTTGCTGACTTGCGTGGCCACATTCGACTGGTACTTCACAGTGGGTGAATAGTCAGACTGAGGAGTAACTGACTTACAGTTAGATGGGTAGAACACCAGTGGGATGGGTTTTGATGTTTTATGGCTCTTGACGTTTGCGTCAGTGTGCAATCGATATATTTCAACATTATGCTCTGTTGATTCATCTATGTTCACCATTTCAGTGTTAGCATCAGTGTCTTTATAAAATACTTGGCTAATATTTGTCAGTGCCTGAGAAAATGTCTGAAGTATGCGGAGAATATTATTATTTTTACCTGTGAGAACTCAATTAGCCTTATCTGCTGTTCATGATATGAGTTTTTTCAGTATTCATTTTTGGTTAGCTGTATCTTTCTTTGCATAGTGTTGTAAGCGTTTGGAGCTTAATGTTAACCTGGGTGTATTGAATAGCCTATCATGTCACCAGACTTTGGAATACCCATAGCTTCGTAAATAGAGCCGAGCTTGAAAAGCACGAAACGTGAGCGGTTTGCAGATTTATTTACCAAGATGCGAAACGTGATAGTCTGTTGACGGCATATGACAACATTTTAGACATAAAGTTTTAAGTTTGACAATGGGCTCTCTGTCCGAAATGTTATAGGCCAACACGTTATGTGAAGACATAATCGTCTAAACAGCTTCTTCAGCCAAATGATGATTCATGCACCCGGATTTGATAAGTGGTTATAGACAGATGTTATGTAACTGGTCACACATCTTCGTGAGGGACATAATGCTGTCAAACTTGCTCTGTAGGTCTGCCATTGGCTTCTGCAGTATCAGTGAATCATTTTTGCCGATAGCCGCATTCTCTGTCAGTTCCTCCTCGATATCACATGCCACAACTCTGGGTGTGCCTGGTGTCAAAAGTGTGGAATCGTCGGCGGAGCTGAAGCCGTCAGACGGTTAACGAGTGTAAGATCTCATTCTCTTAATGGGACTTACACGTTTGACAGGCTTAACCATTACAGAGACAATAACTTTCACAATTTCCGAGCTAGCCAAGCTAGTCATATGCGCCTCAGCTCTAATTCGTAATCAGAATTCACTCGATAATTCTTAATATGCACATTTTATAGCCTGTATAAATGGATTATTTCTGTTCAATCACCAAAAATATGACATTACTATTTAAGAATAACAGAAGAATGTCTTAATAGAAATTAAATAGTTTCTTTTAAAAAATGTCGAAATTGGGTCTGATGAAGACAAAATGAGGTGTGGAAACTACTGTGTGAAAAACGAAATATAACTGTGATACTAAAATTGGCAGAAGCAGCTGAATATCTTAACGTATATTTACTAGGACGAAGCAAAGTTGATAGTGGTTTCCCTTAGGATGCGTGAATTTGATTTTAATCATTTAGTGGTGATTGACTCAGGAAGGCATAACAACCTAGAGCTGTCCTGAACTGCCATTATTTTGAAGGACTTTGTCGCGCTGGTATCATAACCGCTGTCATATATTTGGCAGGCAATCTCACTATTAATCACTCACACATCTTTCAGACGCAGGATTTCGGAATGTGCACAGATATGCGGTTACAAATCTTTCACTCTGTGATGTTTGGAACGCACTTGTCAACTGGTGTTTGCAATTGGGGTAGCGTGGAAAGACGATTTGTCAACCTGAGACTGTGTCAGTCAGCCTTTTATCCGGTAAACTGTGACTAGTCTGGCCGCTGGATAATTTCGCTTGAGGATAGCATTTGTGCCAAATTTAATACATCAATATGCACTCTCACCATTTAATCTAAGGAAGACTGGTTTCTTCTCTACCGCTTCAAATGTTGCTTTTATATGATACATCTTCACATGTTCTTAACGAATTTTCTGTGGCATCCGTTGTCTCCTCAACATTTTGTCAATGAAACTGAGCTTATCACCAAGTTTTTCTTCTCAAACAATTTCTTCAATGCAGTGAAAATTTGTTATTTATTATGAGAAGGCGGATTCCAACGCTGGTCATGAGGCTGACACAAAGTTACATTCGCATCTTTCACAACTGACGACCTGAACGGCTAATCAGCTTTTTAAATGGTTCACTTGGAACTCAGTGTTTGCGCCTGTAATCCTTAGTTAGAAATATGGTACGTCGTTAGATCGAATCGAAAGCCAGTACAGTTTGAAAATTTTCTACTTATTCGGGTTGATGAGATTATTAGGTTTACTGACTTAAGCTTGCCATAAGCGCGTGGTTGTTAGTGAATCAACATTGAGAACTGATCATGAGGGGCGCATAATACGATAATGTGCGTTCCAACTTGAAAAATGTTTGGACGAGGGAGAAGTGGTCTTACCAAACCGAAGAAGGTTCATTCTCTTGAAAACTTAAAGTTAGTTTGCTGTTTTGTACTTCGTATTCTTCATTTAAGTTAATCCAACGCGGTGTCTTGATGCTTCATGCCATAATGTACCAAGCAGCTGTTGTATTGCATTTCCATATGTCAGGAATTATTACTTTTTTGGATATTGTTTTGTCCTTTTGGAATGCTTCAAAGCTGTGAATTTTTGTTGGATTTACATTTGGTTTCCCCAGTTGGATGTATTTGTCCTCGCAAACGTACACTCTGTAATCTCTTGGTCTGTGCACAACTATTTTTCATTTTGCTCGAATTCCGTTAAGTATGGAAACCGGAGGAATCGTGATTGAATGATGTCACTCAGATTGATTCCCCTGCTTTTTGTTTGATTCAGTTCTTATATTTTTTTTTGGCCGGCTATTTGATCTTCAGTATGAAGGTAGCAAAGTGGGCAGCTTTTGATGAAAGTTTGCAACCTGTGACATGCAGTTCGAGTTTCTGGCCCGTAAAGAAGCACTGAACTACTGACTGTCTGACTTCACATTTATGTCGAAATTTAGAATTTTGTTCCTTATGCTGAGGCGGAGTGCAGTGCAAAAGATATCTAAACTGGTTTCAGGTTGATGAAACGTGCGTATCTTGCCTTTCCGATTCTGATTGGCTGGCTTTGACATCTTCATCCGTTCTGACTGCCTGTAGTTGAAACGATGTTTCGTAGATAAATGAAGGTAGGAAGTAACCTCTGTTAAATCTCTCCTGTTGATGGTAATTGGTGCTGGTTGTTGTTGCTGTTCATTGTTTGTTCTCATCACCTCGGTCTTCTTTGTGTTCACCTGCAGTCCTGTCTTCTCTGCGTGCCAGCTTCTTCTGCCAGTTTGTGGGTTTTCACCTGCCTTTAAGTCTTCGAGTTAGTTTGACATTATACATGAATCATTCACACGCGAAATCCATATCTTCTTGTCTTTTTATCAGTGGTCCAGTGTTTTCCTATCCTTGTTTACAACTCACGGTCTGACGCATAATTCAGTCCATCACATTTAGGAATGTCATCGTGATTGATAGTAGGCAGCTAGTTTGTCTTACTGCTGTATTCACCTGAAACACCTAGCTGAGTTTTCCGTTGTGGATCACCTGATATTTGGCGTTGTCAAATAGCCGGCTGTTGAATAGGGTTGAGAAATATTTGAGCAATGCACGGCGTAGTGTTGAAGTATTTTCCAAATTACTTGTCGGTCAACGCTGTCTGTCGAAGATCCTTTTGAAGTCAACGAAGTTGAGATAGAGGTTTGACTGCGTTCTATGCTTTGTTCTGTGATGACGATGTTTAGTGTAGCAGTTTGATCAGCACATGATTTGCCTTCCCTGAATCCAGCTTGTTCTGCTCTGTAGCGCTGCAGAGTTCTGTATCCAGTGCATCTTTTATTCTGTCTCTCCAGGATGACACAACTTAGTATTTTATTTGGTATGGACAAGAACATTGTTCCACGCCAGTTCTTTCAGATGCCTAAGTCGCCTTTCTTTGGTGGCTTGACACTATAGCCTCTCTTCCAATCTTTCAGCACCTTTCCTTCTTTACAAACATTTTGCATTAATGGCGTGAGAAGACCTGCCGCAATTTTTGTGTCCATTTACAGTGCTTCTACCTTCCCGGACCTTAGTAGCTTGATCGCGTTCAGGATTTCTGTTTTCGTTGATATCCCCTGTCAGGTAGTTCTGTGCGTGCTGTCGGTGGTGGTGTTTCTGGGCGAGTTGGCGGTGGTGTTCGATTCAGGGGTCCTTTGAAGTGATCAACCCATTTTTTCTCCTTGGTAATCAGGTCCCTTTGAGCATCTTTTATTGGTTTCATCATCTGGGTTGGTCTCTTCCAGGATAGCGAGCAGCCTGGTTATCTCATGTTATGAGGTTTCTTTTATCTACGGCTCGGCCGTTCTGCCTTAGTTGCTGGCCAGTGTGTAGTGAAATTGTCTTTCGTCTTTCCTAGCACTCTTGTTCACTTCTTTATTCAGTGCAGCATATATTGAACTCAGCTTTTCTTTCTCTTGTTGCCCATCTCTGCATTGAGTTATCTTCTGTTTCACCATCACCTGTCTTTTATTAGCTTCCAAGTATCCATTGACAGCCATTCCTTCTCTTGTCTCCTCTTCCGACCTAAAACCTCTGTACACGTTTCCTCTAACATTACCTTCAGGGAGTTCCAATTTTGTTCCACACAGGTTTCTTCAGTGATACCACTTAGTGCCTCCGACTTTGCTCTGATCTGATCTGTAGTAAGAGCATCTGTTGCAATCACATCCTCCAGTTTCTGGGTGCTGAGCTCGAATTGTGTTCTGTCTCTAGTTGTTTTGAGGGATTTCAGCCTCACCTTTAAGGTTCGTTAGACTAGATGATGGTCTGAGCCCACATCTGCTCCCCTTCTGGACTGTATATCCAACAGACTGCGTCTCCACTTCTTTGAGCAGCAGCATTGAGATGAAATCTGTCTGGTGTGTGGTGTGTTCGTCAAGCGAAATCCATTTTGCTTTGTGTATGTCCTTGTTCCTTTATTATTTCCGTACTTTTCTGCTGTCTTCTCGACTGACTTTCATTGATATTTTGTCTCTGAAGACCTCTTTTGTCAACAGATTAGTGTTTATTGGCAGTTCTGTGTCTGTTTGTGGTATTTCTGCACCAGTCGTGTGTAGTGTCGTTGGTTGAGGAGTCCTTTTAGGTGGTCAGCCCATTGTTTCCTATGCTTTTCCTCTGTAATTATTAGTATACCTTCACTATCATTGGTATCATAAGTTGATTCCTACCCGGATAACAACCTGTTTATCCGGTATGGTGGTGTACAGTCCCTTTTAATTCTGGTCCGATCCGCTTCACTTTCCAATGTGTCGTAGAATTGTCCTTTGTGTTTTGAAATTATTCTTCGCTTCTTTATCCAGTGAGTTGTACATTGAACTCAACCGCATCTTTCTCTGTTTATCTATGCTCTGGTTAATCTGTTTCACCACCACTCTCCCCTCTATTAGCTTTTGTGTTCGTAGAGAGATATTCATTGTTTTACTTCTTTTTTCTGAGACCTCTATACCCGTTTCCTAAAACATCACTGAGAAAGTTCCAGTGTCTTTAGACAAGTTTCCTCTCTAATGGTTCATAATGTCTCCGACTTCATTTTTTGCGTGTCGAACTTGGATTGTGGTCTATCTTCAGCTTCTTTAAAGGCTTTCACCTTAATCTTGAATGTTCTTTGCGCTAGATAATAGTCTGAACACACATCTCCTCTTCTCGACATTTTTTGCGTGTAAAACCTAGGCTTTGTGAATTGCGGATATATGGTGGTTATGCGTGTTTGGCTACCTACGTCCCAGTAGATTTGCTTGAACGCGTGTATGCAATTCTGCAGATTGACAGTGCTCGGTTTTGGCGATGTCGTGTTGGGATAGAGGCTTCACTGGCTTTGGCATGTATCAAGAATGTCGCTTTAGAAATGATTATGTCTTACTATTTAGCATATCTGTAGCTGTTTGAAAGGATTGGAAAGGTAGTCAGTCTATGATTTAGCTCTGTGGTATGAAAGATGTTTGTTCTGGTTTATTATGTCTGAGTGCATCGTGACTCACTGGGCGTAGTTGAGTGATCACACAACTCATTATCTAGAGAAGTCACTCATGATGAAGCCAATAGTGGTTATGTTGCAGCTGTCAAGAGTAATTAAATAGTAAGTTAAAGGATATATGAGCTTTTACTGTCAGTTGGACATTGTCTTCATTATGGATAAGATTTTATTTTGATAAATTACACAGTGTTGTACAGTAATTGCCATGTTTGTCAAATATGTCACCTTAACTGGCATCGAAAGCTATACACTTGGAAATTCAAGTTCTAAAGAAATGGATATTTTGAAGACAGTCTTCAGATATTCTCTAATACTCCATGTCGAGTTGCATTCATTTAAATTTGACTAGAGCTTCAAATAACTAGTTTGATTGTCGCCTCTTGGTTTCAGTATCATAGCACTAATCTATCTGTTTACTTCAAGTGCCTGAGATTCTTTATTGGCATTCGTGCAACAAGTGTAGCTTACAACACAAGCGGACTTATATATCGTTGTTGAGTAAAATTTGTATTTTTTTATAGTAATTTTCACTGTATTTGTAATTAGATTATCTATTATTTTGGTTTAAAGGTTAATCAGCAACTTTTAAAAACATCTTGTGATTTTTTCAGGAGACTAACTTTCAGTTCATAAAATGTTTATTCATTTATTATCTCTTTGTAACTAGTAAAAAATCCTAAATCTAATACTGAAGTAAATTTATTCACGAACCACGACCAGTTAAAGAACCATTGAAGATTATGAAACTGATAGGTGTTTATGTTATTTCTGGACTCCTGCAATGCGTACCCTCTACCACACCTCATTCACTTCCTCTGACTTCATGACTGATGGGTCTATAAAGTCGGGTATGAACACAGTTGCTCACCAACGAAATTGGGTGGCAGTCAGGTTCCTTTCTAATTAAGTAAAGTTAATGTTCACTGACCATTGGAGATCTGTTGTCCATTTCAATATAAAGTTTGGACAGTTAAAGCTTCGATATGAAGTCGCCACTATGGTTTCAAAAGTCTTAAAACTCTCTAACAGTTCCTAGAGTTAACATTTAGCGAAGAAACTGTCTTTGCAGTAGCATTAACGGTTAGAGTAAAGCAAAGAGTAAAAGTGGGCGGAGAAAAGAAATTTTCTTACCCTTGGAAGCTTGTGGGGAGTTGTTTCTTTACGGCTACCATGCTGTAGAAGTTCATTTACCTTCCGATTACATGAACGAGTAAAAGGGGAATTTTTCTTGTGACAGAAGAGCTAAAGGGTAGGTTGTTTAAAGCCTGCACCTTTCTTTGAGACTAAAGCTACAGTAGATTATAGCCTTAACCAAGATGCTCACCACAGGCTGTAGTCTGCCTCTGGTTGATTAGGAATATGCAATTGTTTGGACCTACCTTTTCTCATCCTTCTTTACTGCTTCCACATCCCTTCCTACAAGTAGTGTAATTTCATCTTCACACCCTCACTGTAGTGTGTAGTCTACGCTATGCTGGTAACTGCTTTCAGTGTAACCATTATCCCTGCGACTTTTCTGGTATGGCAAAACTCGTAGGAACATTTGTTTCATTCAGCATAGTTCGTCTGGTCATCTAGATATGCTAAGTCCGATAAACCCATTAAAGATTAACTTCATGGTCGAGTCCCTAAATTTATAATAAGGGTTTGTAAACCAGTGGGATTCACCAAGTTGAGTTTATAGACAGACAAATATCTAAGCATTTGACTGTTATTTCTTGTAACTTAGTAAGTAGTGTGCAAAGTTAGTGGCTGAAGGAGTAACTTGTGTTTTTTAATGAATGAATTTCGTTTTGTATACATTCATGCCTTTCGTCTCATGTATTATTCATTTATTTTCTAGATACCTTCATTCAGTTCTACAGAAGAATCGAGTTGTCACTGAACAAAACTGTGGTACGCTAGTTGAAGCTCTTCGACTGATTGCTGAGATTTTGATCTGGGGTGACCAAAATGATAGTTCAGTTATGGAGTAATTTGTTAATATGCCTTCTACATTATAATTATTATTCCTTAATTTACTAACAGTTTTTTCCTTGAGAAGAATATTCTTGAATACTTTTTACAGTATATGAAGCAGGATCTAAGTCGAAGAATTTGTGTCCAACTATTGCAAACTTTAAATATCTTATTTGAAAATATCACAAATCAAACAGCCATTTGTAAATATATAAACCTGATTATTCTATTCATTTACAAACATTCTAGATTACCTTTTATCTAACAATCATACAAATGCTATCATCACACATCGGTTTGATTTTACTGATGAAGAAGTAGATTTTGCATATTTTTAAAAAAATGAATTTTTCTTCCAGGTGATGGCATATTATATTTCATTTTTGAAGATATTATCGTTTCGTCTCAATTCAAGTACAATCAATTTTTTCTACATTGAGGTAGAATTCATTTTTGCATATCTTCCCTTTATCATCACTTTGTTTTCCAGTCTCGTCGAGAATTTGATTTGTATGTTGAAGCTATTAAACTGTTTGCTCATCCAGAGGGTATGGTTCGTATTGCTGTACGTACTATAACTCTCAATGTACATAAAGGTATTTATCGCTTAAATTCACTTTCTCATGCATTTCTTAATTACTAGTGAAAGATGAAGCTGCTTTAGAATTTATTCATCATCAAACGTCATTAAGTTATTTTTCACATCTTGTCTGGTCAATAGGAAATACAATACTAGATATTGACTGTCATAAGTAAGTTTTACCTTTACAGTTGTTGCTTATTTCTTCATTTCATTATTTCGACCTACAAAATAATAAGTTCGTTAGCCTTATTGTTTGTTTGTATTACGTATTATACATCTGTTATGACTTAATTTTGTGTTTTTCCTTAACTCAGTAGGACAGTTTGTCCATTCTACATATGAAAAAGCCTTGCTTTGACTAGTGTACGATCTGAATGAAAAGAAATCGTCTTTCAGCATAAAGGTAGAAGAAATATCGTATGATTTTTGATGTGCTTCAATGCACTATTTCATAGACTAGATATTAAAGTCCAAGAAAAAAAATGAGTACGAATTTATGAGTTAACAGTCGCTCTCAGCATTTCAGTGAGAATAAGTAGCATTATGTGACTACACTATTTTGGTAGGTTTCTAGCTGGTGTTCATTTGAAATAACGATGAAAGTCTCGTAGTTAAACTACTGAACTTTAATAGCGCAACACCTAAATTATCTATATGGCCTGTCAACTCTAGAATGAATATATATATATATATATATATATATATATGGTTCAGTCAGGCAGTTGGTCGATCGCTAGTTTTGAATCTAGATTGGTTTGATATTTAACTGCAATAGCTGCTGTAAGAAAATTGAACGGGGTTTATTATCGTTGCGTAATCGCAAAAAAAAAAATCTGGCCCAATACTAAAAGCAAAGTTCATAGAAAACGACATTCTAGTATGCACTCATTTATCAGTAACCGACAGCAGGGTGATATATTTGAACGGCAAAAGAAGGGCGCCAGGTAATACAACAGTAATAGCTTTACCTGAAGTCGATGTCGGTTAGAAATAGTTTTTAATCTGCGCCAGATTGCAGGAAACGGTCATCATTGTCTGGCCTCCGACCATCTTGTTCTTATTGATCACATAAACGACTCTCCTCTGAGTTTGCGCTCCAAACGTTTACATTGAATTCTCCATCTAGCACTATGAAATCTATTGAGTGATGAGCTAGTGTAAGAAGGTCACTAACATAATAGAATTCACCCTTAATTGAATCCAGGTTCCAGTCTGTCAGTTTGTAGACAGTGTTGATTGGAAGGCAAGACTTCTGCACTAGGTCATTTCTTACGTTATTATAGCTTAATAAAAAGGCATGTAAGTAACAGTCACTGGGAACTCAGTCGAGTAGTACAGCACAGATACTAGGTAAAGCCGACGCCGATGCTGCAGGCTACCCAAAGAAACGTACGTGAAAAGTACTTTTTGATGGGGGAAGTTATTTGAAGTGCTTCACTTTGTTCCTGAATGTAGGTCTCTGAAATGCAGCATACACTAATAAGATTTTTAAGCTTCTGAATAAATATACACTTTCTGCTTCTGTGTGTAAATGTTGTGGGTAGCAAGAGTGGACACAACACGTAGTGTCCAAGTAACTGTGACCAAAACAGATTCTTCTGTTTCTGGTCGCAGTGCTCATGCTTACGAAAAACTTAGTCTCGAATTGTATTTATAATGGCAATTAATCCCCCTGATGAAAACATGTACGACTTCTAGAATCACCGCATATATTCTGGAGGACAGTTAGCTTATCTCATGCATAAGACCATTTTATTAAGGGCCTTCGCAGCTGATGTCAGTACAACAGAAGACACTTGTTTCTTACTGCTTCAAGATTCATCCGAGCTACTGTACTAGCAGCTTTTGCATATATTTATTACTTGTTTCGAGCACTGTGAATACTTTGTAGTGAATAATTTATTTTTATGCATATTTCCTTGATAGGTGTCAAATGAGGCTGAAAGACTTAGTTGCAGAACACATTGATCATTTACACTATATCGATGATATTTTTTCATTGGATATAGAAGGATTAAATGAAGTATTGTGTGATCAATTATTAAGGCGGTTATTGCTACCATTACATATATATTCATTATTTAAACAGTACAAATCGGAAGCAAAAGCAACGACAACAGTAGGTTGACTATTTTCATTATGAGAGTTGTAATTACTTATGGAGCATGCAGTTTATTCAGATTTTCTTGTTTTTATCATCCATTTCGATACTATTTTAGTTTTATTTATATCTGTAGAAAGAAAAAGTATTTTTAGTTATAGCTTTGAACCGTAAGGTTTTTGTCCCAAAATGCAATTATAATGGATTTATTATCATATATAAGTATCACTTTAAAATTGACGGGAGCATATGTAGTGCATAACAAATTATCGTTTACTCCGAAACGACAAATCGAAAGTGCTATAGTAAATCTGGATTAAAAGTTAGTGGTAAGCCATGAAGTCTTTGACTGATTCATGCAAATGCTTTCTTTGTACTTATGATGCATAAAATAAAGGCAATCGATTGTGGGTCATATTATATAAGTGCATTGAAATGATCAGTGGTAGGTATAACTCATATTCCTGAAATGTAGCTATATGATCAGACTTTCTTAATTCCTGTCAAAGGAATTCAGCTCACTATCTGTGAGGAGTAACGGTGTGTTACATCCAAAATAAAAGGGTTAGTGCAAATGCCCAAGATCTATCACTTAATGTGCAGTTTCAGAAGGTCAACTTAGAGAGTTTGTAAACCTCAATTACAAACGGACGATACAAATAGATACAGCAATTCTAAGAAAACCAACGGCAGATACACAAATAGTATTCATTGTTAACTACAGAAATGCAACCTATCACTTTTTCTACTACCGTCACGAAGTATGTTGTCGTATTAGTAATACATCTCCTTGATATTAGTGCCTACTACTAAATTCCCACTTACATTTATTTGAGTTCTGTTGGGTGAGGATGTTTTTTTACCCTAAAGAGCTATCTTTCAGGGGAATGATATCTTTCTTCCACCTCTACCAAGATTCTGATGGAATTGACGCCGAATGCAATCAAGGATGAGTTCTACCATCAAGTGAGTGACGTTTTCCATTGTAGGTGGTCGGTCGACAGATATGATTATGGTGACTGGAAAGTTGAATGGAAAAATGAGTCGTTCAAACTCGAGGGTGAGTTATTTAGGTAGTTAATGGAGATCGGTGTATGGTGACTGGAATGCGTGTAAGTAAGAATCACTACTTTCTACAGGTGTGTGTGTGTGTGTGTGTGTAGGAGAAATTATTTTCAGGTGTCATGAAATTTTGACACAACCGTCACTGTTGTGATTCCCGTTACTGAGATGTCGACTGAAACGGACTGTATTTTAGTCTGCTGTCTATGGGTGGTGTGGGTTGATGCTGGGTTTGTGTTTTTGCGTGAACAGTAATCGTATTATGTTGTGTTCCAAGTTTGTCTTATGTTCCGGTGGTTACTATATTTGTGTATGTTGGTTGTACGTAGCGGTGGTAGTGACTGTCAAGGTGAGTTGTATGGAAGGATAGTATTTACTGATCCCTTGAAAGGTTTGGATGAATAATGGTCACAGTTTTTTGATGCCAATGAAGATGTGATGGGCGAAGTAACTTTTGTTTTGAGAGGAAGTCTGGTCAATGAGCTGTCGATTTGTGTGAGTTGGTTGCAACATCTTGAAGCTGATCGATCTGTGTGAGTGATTAGCAACTGCAATAGTTTTTGAAAGTGACTTGCTCGAGAAGTCTTTGAAGAATAAAGGATGGGATGTTTGTTGGAGAGATTGTGATGCTCGAGGTAAGTAGAATTAGATCACCTGAGCAAGTGTTAGAGAAATGAATCTTGTAAATTTGGTTATGTTTGAGTAATTAGAAAGTAACAAAATTACATTGGATTTCATTGGAATAAAATTTGTGGTTTTGCACACATCACAACTTTATTTGCACCATGCAATAATCATCTCATAAATGAACTATCACCATACTTTCTAGTGATTTACGCAAACAATTTTTCTTATTACATAAATACGCTTTGTGTACTACAATGGATTAGTTACGAAGTCGTTCGTTTAAAAATTTGTTTTTCAGGCTCGTAAACCTCGCTTATCGTATTCGGTAACAGTTTTCACACTGACTCACGTGTATCTATTCCTACATTATCCTCGTTTGATTCGCTTGCTTACGGAGGCAATTCTAATAGGTGATTTTACACTACCAGGCTTAATACCTTGTCCGGCATCATGCTCAACTTCATATGTGGTTTTCAATGGTTCAACAACTGAAAACTGTTCTGTGAGTTTTACAAATAAAGAGGATGACGATGTAGATGATCCTTCACACGATCCGGCTATGAAAATCGCTGAAACACTTGTTGCTGCCACTGTATCTTTACGTGCTTCTGACCAAGCTGATCATGGACAGAAATTAAGTGCCTATTTAACCCATTCCGTTACACCCAGAAACCCACTGATGTTTTCTCAGCCTAGTGAATCTCTGGAGAATGGTCTAGTTCAAGCTAAAGGTGTAACTCCTACTCTTATGTCTGTACTTTGGCCGCCTAATATGTCTCCATTGAAGCTAGTGGAAAAGGGCTCTAAAACTAGTGTAAGTTGAAAAATGAATGATATCCGTTACATTATTTACTTAATATAATCTAATTTACCATTACGACGTTTTTGCTATTTGATTGCAAACATGTAATCACCCAGCTTAGTGATTTCATCAGTACCTTTCTCACCAAGTGAAGTCATACGTTGAATGTCCTCTGATCTTGAATATTATTATTTTTATTATTATCATCAATAATAAATCATGTAATTGTCTATAATTTTACTTTTTTTCAAATAAATTTTGTGCTGATTAAATGTTATATATCAAAGATTAAAATCATTCAATAATTGTCCTCCCCAGCTGAAAGTGTCTATATTGCACACCTTTATACTTCGAGACTGTTTGAGTGGTTTTAATCCTACTGGTTTGAATTCCGACCGTCAAAAGTGACTAAGATCAAGATCTGTTGGCTCGGAGCTAGCCTGTCTCGCTTATTCTTTTCGAAGATGTGATTAATATATTTAGGTGAACGTGATCAAGTACATAAATCGCATATATATATATATATATATATATATATATATATATATATATAATCCTACGAAGGACAAGTACATATGTGCAAAATAGCATACTTAATCCAGCATTAGTGAGTATTCAGAAGTTCCAAAATGTTGAGTTGTGATTTTTGTACAATATGATCGTAAATCACAAACTACACTGAACTATATAATTCAGATAAGCAATCACTAAATCCATAGATATATACAGTTGTCTGATCTAGCCACCAAAATCTTTTTTCTTTACCTGATCCTGCTTCAACAAACATCTTTTTAAGTGAACGTTTGCTTGGCTCACGAACCATGTGTCATAGATAAAGATTTGTTACTTCTATGATTAACTTACCTTCTTTAACAAAAACAATCTTTATCTCACCTCAGTCTTTATAAATCTGTATTTCTGTCTGAAATGAGCAATGCAATGAAAACCACATAAATTCTTTGCATATCTTCTACTTTCAACGGTCCTGTGTCTCAGCGGTAAATTACAACAAAGACAAGCACTGAGTTCTCTGACGTGTGATTAAGGCCAATACATTTTCTTAAATTCAGTTCATTAGTCAATACATTTGATTGCATTCCTTTTAACACCTAACATTGTACCGGCACCACATCATCATTTCATATTTGGCTGAGACAAGCACATGCCAAACGTTTTCACTTTGTTTTAATTAACGGATTTTTATGTCTTTTAACACAGCGCACTTTCAGCTGTTTTCACAGTAGCAGTTGAATTCCTGAGACCCTGAATTTAAACGAAAGTAGTTAAGGAAACAAATAGGAGGTATCTGGAGTTAGATTTTATCATGGTTGTCATTTATTAAGTATATAGTAAGTATTTGTTTTTTCGATTTGCAAAAGCTGACGAACTATTTTGTAGGCGATTAGTTTTAGGTGTGACTCTTTCATCCATTAGATTAGTTTGAGGCACAAGTGTTCTTTTGTATATGTGATGTGGCTATGCTTTAATATACATGCATCAAAACACCGTAAATTTACAAAATCATATAATTATGTCACATATTCGTAATATGGGATTTATTTTGACTTGGTTAAATTGAAAACACTTAATTCATCCCACTAACTAGTCGAATCAACTTGTACACTATGCGATTCCAAGTTCAGCATGAATACAGATAATTTGTTTTTATTTAAAGTTGTTTTGTTAACTGTATCAGGCAGTATCACTTGTTTTGAATTATTTTCTATGACCACAGACAACGGTGAGAGCCATAGAAACAACCCAGATAGTCTTTTAAAGCCACATCGCCAACTTCATATAGGAGCATTTAACGTCACGACCCTCTGACAAATCGGACAACAGGCATCACTAGCAAGAACTCTGGAATCTCGAGCCATGGATATATGTTGTGTTTCGGAGACACACACACAAGACCCGAGTGTGGTCATTCACTTAACCTCACCAGGTCAACAACAAGGTGAATCTGCAAAATTCACTTTATGAGTGTCAGGAGACCCTTCAGCCATCTCGCGAGGACTCACAGATGTAGGGATAGCACTGAGTGTTAGGGCGGAAAAATCACTTCTTGACTGGATCCCAGTAGATAGTCGTATGTGTGGGGTCCGTCTGAATGGGTCCGTTAGAAGAAGGAAAGACGGCGCTACTCGTCGTTGCCTTTTCGTAGTCTCCGCTTACGCCCCGACAGACTGCAGTTCGGATGAACTAAAGGATGACTTCTACCTGAAACTGTCTAATTTTCTGCAAAAAGCAAAATGTTCAGATATGGTTGTTTTAGCAGGCGACTTCAATGCCGAAGTAGGGAAGTTGTGCCAGACTGAGAAGTATGTAGGTGGTACGTATGGAGTTACCTGCCGACGAACCGATAACGGTGATCGTCTTCTACAGTTTTGCTCAGATAATCATCTGTTCCTAGTCAGCACTAACTTCAGACCGGAAGAGAGACATTGTGTAACCTGGCGACCTCCATCACCAAATCAACGCTGGACTCAGAAAGACCACATGGCGATAGGGTATCGTTGGCGAGGGTCAGTAGAAGACTGCCTCTCTTATTGGAACACGTGGGTAGACTCTGATCACGCTCTAGTTCGCGCTCGTTTATCCTTACGACAAATGGACATTAGAAATTAATGGCAGTGAAACAGCTACGTCCCCAACTAGATCGAGACGCTGAGTCCCTATTTAGGGGAGAAATAGCGAAACGAGTGTCTGAGGCGGATAGCACGACTTCCCCTGAGGTAGCCTGGCTGGCACAACATACAGTTAGCTGTAGACACAGCTGTAAAAGCTGTTAATAAGCTGAAACCAAAAGTTAGTAAGCGCCACTGGACCTCTACCGCCTCATCCGAACTGATTGACGCAAGAAGACTGATTCCGGCGAGCTCCGATTATGATGAGGAGCGAAAGCTACTCAAACGAAAACTAACAAGAAGTCTTCACAACGACCATGAATTGTGGTCGAAAGATATGTAAAAGGCATCGGCGATAGGTAATACCAGACAACTATTTAGATTTATCAGGGAGGCAGGTGGCAAAATGTAAATGATAGGTGAAACTATCTCTGAGAAAAATGGTACCATAATTAGCTCTCAGGATAGACGACTAGGACGTTGGAAAGAACACTTTGAGGGGCAGTTTCATTGGCCTACAGCCACACTCAACCTGCCGAACATCCAACATCTCCCTCAATGGGATATAGACACAGGTCCTCCGTCCCTAACTGAGGTTACTAAAGCTGTCACTAGTCTGAAACGAGGGGAATCAGCAAGACCTGATGGAATGATTCCAGAGGAATTTAAGCACGGTTGAGACAGTTTACTGTCTACGTTTACTAAGGTACTAGGCAGCTTCGGGGAATCCGAAGAAGTCCCATCTGGTTGGTGTAATTCATTGATTATCCCCATATACAAGAAGAGAGACAAGTCTTCCTGTGATAACCACAGGGGGATTAGCTTGACCAAAATGGTATCTGAAGTTCTAGGCTCGATGATAATGGGTAGACTAAGAGGTGCTCTGGAGGCACAAACACAAGAGAACCAGGCAGGCCTTAGAACAAGAAGAGGGTGTATTGACCATATCTTCACCCTTTGACAGATTCTGAAACATAGGGATTCTTATCGGCGCCAAACACTAATCATATTTCTTGACCTAAAGGCGGAATTCGATTCTGTCGAAAGAGAGGTACTCTGGCGATGCTTGGCCGTAAAGTGAATGACGAGAAAATATATTGCACACTGATTAAGACACTCTACTCGAACTCGTGCAGCCAGTCAGGCGAAAGCCTCCGTATAGTTGTCATCTGAAGTGGTGACGACTAGTGGTGTTCGTCCGGGATGCCCATTACCCCCATTTTTATTCAATTTCATCATAGATGTACTAATGGACTTAACCCTAACTCTCTTCAGAGACACAGGGATTGACTTATCATCAGAGAATAATCTCGTTGACTTAGAATATGCAGATGATATAGTCCTGACTCCTAGGTGAGGACGCTGACAAAATCCATCAGAGTCTTCTGAACACATTGAGCTGTGCAGCAATCTACGAATGTTTGGCATGCGTTTCGCTCGTGCTGTCAAATGCAAGATGATGTTACAGGACTGGACTACACCGACTCCTAGTTTAGAAATAGGGAGTGAAGTGGTAGAGCACGATGACCAATTCACTTATTTGAGAAGTTGCATTAAACCCAACGGGTTGGTCACTGACGAAATCTCAGAACGGATACAAAGGGCTAGCTTCTCATATGCCAGTTTACGCCGTCTCTGGCGTAGACGTGATATCCCGCTCTCTATCGACCAAAGTGGGGGGAAGTACTGCTCAGCAGCCCGCTTCATCCCCATTTGTGGCTGCTAGTGAGACCTGGCCATTGAGAGTCGAAGACATGAAAAGCCTGGCCGGCTAGCTGTCTTTGACCACAGGTGCCTGCGCTCTATCTTCCATGTGAAGTGGTATAATAAGGTGATCAATATTGAGGTGAGGCATCGGTCGAGTGCTAGGTAAGGAGGGGAAATCAATAAACAAGACTGTGAAGCTACATCGATTGAGATGGTTAGGACATGTATTACATACATATGCCTAGACATCGCCTTACTTGATAATGGGCAATGCTGGTTGACATAGTGTCAGGCTGGAAAAAAGCCTGTGGTGGTCAAACAAAAACATGTCTTCATCAGTCAATGAAATATACGACAGTTAGTTTAAGCCAGTCACGTAGGAAGGTGAAGACTTTCTGGTTGGGGTCCTCGGGACGGTAAAAACCGATGGTTAGAAACAATTGGTGATATGGCTCAAATTCGTTCTCAATACATAGCGCAGATGCATCCACTCCATGTGACTTATGATTTCCAATGAAACTGTTTTGTTCTTCGTTATTACTATTCCTTTGTCTCACACCTCTGTTTACTGTCTCTATTTTGGATTTCATTTTACTTTCTTCTGTTGCTTTGTGTGCTACAAGGAGGGAGTGTGGCGACTTGAACTTCCGCACATAAGTGCAAAGTTTTATGTCGAAAACAGACAGACAGGCGATTTTCTGAGTATTCTTCCATCCTAGAATCTAAATTTTCAAGAGGTTAAAGGTATATCTGAAGAAGGACACAATGCTGCTATTAGGGAATACGATTCTCATTAATTGCGCTGCTCAATTATTACGTAATAATAAAATATTAAGTGGCTCATTTGTTCATAATTATGATTATAACATACTTGACAAACCTGAGGTAACTCTACGACTATCTGTTTTAGCTATATATACCTATTGTGAAAAACACCAGTGGTTCATACGTATTTAGTAATTTATACTTATTTATATTTATGAGCTAAGTAGATAATAGGGTCATCCAAGAAGGTAGTTAATCCTTTTTATTACTGATATAATGATGGTCATCCTAAAAATGTCAGTGAAAATGATGAAGATGTATGTCTCTGTTGGATTACTGTCGTGTTCCGATTAATTCAGATGGCAGGATCAATCAAAGGAGTGTAACAAGTATTTTAAATACTTTTCAATGATGGTAACTAGCAGTAGATTGTACAGAAGTTATCTTTGTTTAAGGTGATTCTTTGATAACTATATTTGTTTTTCACGATTATACAGATGATAACAGTCTACTTTACTTATTTACACTCAAGTTTAAAATTTAGCCGTTAGTCTTCTACAGCATATTATAGTATCTACGGGCAATCAAACGGTCAGAGGGTTTATCCTCCGATTACCAGTTTGAATTACCCTCTGTTTTGTATTAAGAAAAGTCACATGGTTGTGCAGCTTTATTATGTGGTTCTTAGAATGAATTTCGTCGTTGTTTTTTTGTTTCCAGTTGTGTCGAATCCATTCACATTGTTGATTAACAAATAAAAATTGTATTTATCGCTTTTTCGTAGTGTATTATTCAGCTTCTGCAAATCTAATCGATGATCGGTCAATGTTGGCATTTGTATAGGCTTTTCATCTGCATACTTTGATGTTGCCACTAATCTCGCCAGCTGACTGACTGAATTTCAACAGTGAACTTTGCATAGAAGTTCAGCAGTAGTATAAGTTGCCACACACCATATTAGTACACTAAGGTAGAGAAGAGGATAAACAGAAATGTGCTGGAGAAAAGAATAGCAACATGTAGAAGCGCATATTGCCTATCAGTCAGTAGCTGAACAGGTTCAAAACGCATACGATGGAGTTTTAAATCACCACTATTACCGCAACTACTACTGCTTTTACTGTTATACTACAACAGTATGTGTATCTGCTAACTAGTCGATATCGTTTGAAGTGGTGGTTCCTGATTAAATTTCTAGAGTGAATGACAGCATTTTGCGGGAATGTAAATCTAATAAAATCTCGAACAGGTATCCACATATTTCATGAGTCTCACTCAGCCATTATTCACCACCGGATGCAATTAATAATTCATGTCCTTTCAACACTTGTAAACACATTCATGAATTTATAAGGTACATCTATCTGATATAGTATGAAGCGTGTAAGATTTGTTATGTAGATGACGTTAATCTGTACACAGCTAATTCAGTGTTTGGAAAATGTAATGTCGTATGACATTGTATGAGAATATCAGTGTAAATGCACTTTCTCTGTTTAGACTGGATGATGTATTTTGTTTAATTTTTTCTAACTTTTCAATGTTAATTTAAAAAAATTTTTATAAACAGGTGTAAATATCGTTCACACTTAGCTTAGTTGGATTTAAATTTTCTGAATGTTACAACAAACGGAAGTTTTATTAAAGAGTAGTTGGTAGACAAAAAAATTCAGGCTGATGTCTAAACTGATGTGATGCGTGATGAGATATGTCAATAATGTGGACATCATATTGACAAGTTATCGTCATACAACGTTTTATATGAGGACAGTTGGATGATTGATATGTTCAAATATTGTCATTCTGCCGTGTTACAATGGAAATTAAACACTCATACTGAAGGAAAATAGTTTCCGATGTTCATTGTTTTCAAGTCGTACTTAGTTATCACTATACTGGAAGTTATGTTGAATGGGATTGCTTATTATTATTACTGTTGTTTCCTTAGTTCCTAGAGGGACATATGGCTTCAGCCGAACGTCTCCATTACGTTCGGTTTTCTGCCAACGTTTTCACCTGGCTCCACGTCTGCCCACATGCTTTCATCTCCTCTTCACATGACCTCTACCATGTCACCCTCACACTGACGACCAACTTGCCAGTTCTCATTCGGGTTCCACTCGAGCGATGGCATCTCGTGTGATGTCACTTGATGGTTTTCTTAGAGTGTGGCCACTCCACCTCCATTTCTTCCTGCATATTGGTTGCAGGGGTCACTTATTCTCCACTTATTCTGAATATGAGACCCCCTTTCTCTTGTAATCATAGATATTTAACCTTCAATGAATACTGGGTTTCACAAGGTCATATGTGAATTCTTGGGATATTTTTTGAATATTTATCCACTGTTTTGTTATGGAGAAAGCTATATACCAACAGATACATAAATTTATAGTTTATGTCATATTGATCGCATTTCAACTGTTCTGTATTTTCTGACCTTTGTATCTTTTTCTCTCTCATCATATGGGATGGTGAAACAGTCATTAAATTCTGCCAACCTTCCCTCTGATCCCCTCCCGGACTCACAAATTGACCTTTCTTCTCCTCAATGTACAGATCCTTGTATAAGTGAGTTTATTATGTGAAATTTTATGATTATTATTAGATTAGATGGCTTTACGAAGGTATTCACGTAATCTAGTAATTATGAGGGATTATTATTATTGTTATATGAGCTACAAATCTCCAGTATTATTTTTTGTTTTATAATTGTATTATATGCTTATCCAACCAATGATTGCTATTAGTTTTATCCATATCAATGTGTCATCAAATTCTGTGATACGGCCAGGTTAAACTTTAAGCACCACTACCTACCAATGGAGTTCGACCGCACCAATGACCTTGAGACGCTCTCTGAGCAAGTTAGTGAAATCCAACAGATAATGTTGTCATCATCAATAAAATACGCTCCTCGAAGAGCTATGCTCTTAAATGGGATATCTGGCAAGTTTCAGCTTATGTTTGGGAAAGATTAAGTTACTCTTTAAGCCAAGGACAAGTTAAAGTTAGGTTAACCTAACAGAGGCGACAGTAGATTTGATTCGAGTTAGATTACAGTTAGTTTAGGAATATTTTCACGTAAGGGTTAGGTTCAAGAAAAATTAGTTTTAATTTTAGGGTTAGAAGACCTAAATAATTACATCTATCTGTTTGTCTGTTTTCGACATAGAACTTTGCACCGATGTGCAGCAGTTCAAGTCGCCACAGTCGATGTAGCAGACAAAGCAAGAGCAGAAAGTAGAAGACCAATAGACCAACCGATTGCTGCTACCTTGACGTGGTGGTCGGGCTTGCACACCGCGATGACCCGAAATGCTACACTGGCTGGAACCAATGTTCCTGCACGTCCTACCATGCCAGGAAAGTTGTTAGGATAGCGATTAGACTCAAAGCAGTTACCGGCTTCGTGTAAGAATCTTTCTTACACTATGATGGGGTTCTAAAGGCAAAGTCATACTGCTGGGGAACGGAGGGGGTGACAGCAGTGAGGTGTTGCCCTCAGATGACCGGCATCCCAGCTATGCTGTCTCTCCAATCAGGAGAGAAGGGGTTAGAAAAACTCGACTCAGAAATTTGTACATCCCGACTTACTCTACGGTGGTCCATAACCGACGGTAAGTTTAATAATACGGAACCAATCCCAGAACCCAGTTGATACAGGTCGGGTGTAACCGGCCAGCGTCAAGAAGTTGTCCCGTGGGCTCTGTGGTCATGCAACACTCATTCAGGCACCTGAAGAATCAATCAACTTCCACGGTGTAGGCATCTGGGAAGTAACAACCGCCCACACACTTCCAAAAGCATACGACGCACTCCTGAGCATAAATCTCATTTACCCACATCACCTTGCTCATCCTGCTTCTCTACTACAGTTAGTACTATTCTGCAGGCTAGTGAGTCATCTTCACTTCACTCTGTGACCACAAACAACGGTGAGAGCCATAGAAACAACCCAGATAGTCTTTTAAAGCCACATCGCCAACTTCATATAGGAGCATTTAACGTCACGACCCTCTGACAAATCGGACAACAGGCATCACTAGCAAGAACTCTGGAATCTCGAGCCATGGATATATGTTGTGTTTCGGAGACACACACACAAGACCCGAGTGTGGTCATTCACTTAACCTCACCAGGTCAACAACAAGGTGAATCTGCAAAATTCACTTTATGAGTGTCAGGAGACCCTTCAGCCATCTCGCGAGGACTCACAGATGTAGGGATAGCACTGAGTGTTAGGGCGGAAAAATCACTTCTTGACTGGATCCCAGTAGATAGTCGTATGTGTGGGGTCCGTCTGAATGGGTCCGTTAGAAGAAGGAAAGACGGCGCTACTCGTCGTTGCCTTTTCGTAGTCTCCGCTTACGCCCCGACAGACTGCAGTTCGGATGAACTAAAGGATGACTTCTACCTGAAACTGTCTAATTTTCTGCAAAAAGCAAAATGTTCAGATATGGTTGTTTTAGCAGGCGACTTCAATGCCGAAGTAGGGAAGTTGTGCCAGACTGAGAAGTATGTAGGTGGTACGTATGGAGTTACCTGCCGACGAACCGATAACGGTGATCGTCTTCTACAGTTTTGCTCAGATAATCATCTGTTCCTAGTCAGCACTAACTTCAGACCGGAAGAGAGACATTGTGTAACCTGGCGACCTCCATCACCAAATCAACGCTGGACTCAGAAAGACCACATGGCGATAGGGTATCGTTGGCGAGGGTCAGTAGAAGACTGCCTCTCTTATTGGAACACGTGGGTAGACTCTGATCACGCTCTAGTTCGCGCTCGTTTATCCTTACGACAAATGGACATTAGAAATTAATGGCAGTGAAACAGCTACGTCCCCAACTAGATCGAGACACTGAGTCCCTATTTAGGGGAGAAATAGCGAAACGAGTGTCTGAGGTGGATAGCACGACTTCCCCTGAGGTAGCCTGGCTGGCACAACATACAGTTAGCTGTAGACACAGCTGTAAAAGCTGTTAATAAGCTGAAACCAAAAGTTAGTAAGCGCCACTGGACCTCTACCGCCTCATCCGAACTGATTGACGCAAGAAGACTGATTCCGGCGAGCTCCGATTATGATGAGGAGCGAAAGCTACTCAAACGAAAACTAACAAGAAGTCTTCACAACGACCATGAATTGTGGTCGAAAGATATGTAAAAGGCATCGGCGATAGGTAATACCAGACAACTATTTAGATTTATCAGGGAGGCAGGTGGCAAAATGTAAATGATAGGTGAAACTATCTCTGAGAAAAATGGTACCATAATTAGCTCTCAGGATAGACGACTAGGACGTTGGAAAAAACACTTTGAGGGGCAGTTTCATTGGCCTACAGCCACACTCAACCTGCCGAACATCCAACATCTCCCTCAATGGGATATAGACACAGGTCCTCCGTCCCTAACTGAGGTTACTAAAGCTGTCACTAGTCTGAAACGAGGGGAATCAGCAAGACCTGATGGAATGATTCCAGAGGAATTTAAGCACGGTTGAGACAGTTTACTGTCTACGTTTACTAAGGTACTAGGCAGCTTCGGGGAATCCGAAGAAGTCCCATCTGGTTGGTGTAATTCATTGATTATCCCCATATACAAGAAGAGAGACAAGTCTTCCTGTGATAACCACAGGGGGATTAGCTTGACCAAAATGGTATCTGAAGTTCTAGGCTCGATGATAATGGGTAGACTAAGAGGTGCTCTGTAGGTACAAACACGAGAGAATAATTACATGCATAGAATGTGGTTAAATTTCTGTGTTGATATAAGAGCAGAACTTGCGCACTGTGGGAGAGTATAATTCCACTGGGGATAAAATTTTATTTTGATGCGTTCGAGGTCATACGCTGATTGGCAGTTAGTGGGGTTTATAGTTTAACTTTGGCTGTGATAATTTCTTATTCTAGGGTGTGCCCACAAAAATGTGTGTTTGAAGCATTTGAAATAATGTGAAAAGGACTTAATAATTAATTTGATTCTGATAGTCAGATTCATACTTTCAATGATATCAGTGTTTGTCATATTTTATGTAGTATAAAGCCATATGCAATATTTACCAATTACAATACTCATAAAATCTAATCTGATTTCACTTTTTATGCTTGTGAAACAAGTTGCTCGGCTAGTACCATATGGCTCATCATCAATAGCTTTGAAATTTTTTTTTTTCAACTTCGCAGTGCTTCATTATGCTTTCATGTTTAGTTGTAAATATTTCCTTACCGGAGTAATTGGATTGATCAATATTGTATGTAATGTATCGAGAAGTAATTGCTTGTTTAATTAAGAAGACTAGCACAGTTTTCGCATATCATACCATAACCTACTTAACGTTGACAAATAGTGGATCATTATGAATATTAGCATCTTTCTAGGTGTGTTTAGATAGTTTTTATTATTGTCGTAATCTTTGTATCTATTGATTAGTTGAATCTGTATCATACGTCAATTTACTTCAATATGATACTTACAGTAACTCTGCATTTATTAGTTTAAGGTAGTTCATACATCGTTATTAAGATAAAAGATGACAATAATGGTTATAAAATTTATTCATTGAAAATTCCTATTAGGACGTATAGAAAATCAAAACAAATGATTCAGCAAATAATAATAATAATAATGACTTTATTCCAAATAGTAATTTTTATGCAAAGTGTGTTTTTCAGTATGTAGTACAATATGTCATCTAATGTTCTCTTTACATTACATAGTAAGATGGGAAACTGATTAATAGGGTATTTGCCCTGATAATAATGTCAATAAAAATATGAATGTAAAATTAAGATCAAGCGGAAATAGTGGCGGCAATATACTTAGAAGTTGGCTAATATTAACCCGTTTCTGTTTATTTCCTCTTTTGATGTTATGAATGCGACCACGTCTCTCGATGACAGTAATTGGTCCGTCCCACTTTGGGAGGAGTTTCCGTGAATCTGGTCCGCATCTAACCGCGTGGTTCCTTTCTCTATACTTTACTTCATCATCAACCTCAAAGGTTCTGTATCGAATCTTCTCTCCCTGTCCTGATTTCATGGCGTCTTTCTTTTGTTTGCACTTCATATTCTTGTCGGCGTCTTTCCGTTCTTTTCTCAGCCTCGTCATATTCCACTCCTGATGGAGGGGCCAGGTTGTGTTATGTATTGGTAGTCGTGGTTGCCTTCCATACAACAGCTGAAGTGGTGTGTTATAACTGCACTGAATTAAGGTAAAACCCCGTCGCCAATTTGTTATAACTGTAGGGAGTTGAATGAAGACGTTTTCACCTTATTCTGTCTGCGCCTGAACTAATCTGTCTATCTGCTCGTCGTACCTTCCGACTTAGTAAAGCACGCAAATATCAAAAGACAAAGGCTGGACTGTGACTGTGTATTGAAGTGCAACAACGATAAAGAAAGCCATGGTATTTATACATTTTACAACAATATGGACAGCTAACAGCATTTGAAATAATTTATCTTAATAGCCAATAACAAAGTGCGTGAGAGATGATAATATACCATATGTGCGAGTTGACAGTCAGTAACAAAATGTGTGGGAATGATAATATACCATATATACAAGAT